GTGGTAAATCTAATTTTATCGAACGTGCACCAGGGCCCTCACCAATCATGATATCGAGTTGGTAATCTTCCATCGCGGGATAAAGAATTTCTTCAATCACTGGAGAGAGGCGATGAATTTCATCGATAAATAGCACATCACCTTCTTCCAGGTTGGTCAGCATTGCAGCCAAATCACCTGCACGTTCCAGTACTGGACCAGAGGTAGATTTAAGGTTCCCCCCCATTTCACGGGCAATAATATTGGCCAATGTGGTTTTACCTAAACCGGGTGGGCCAAAGATCAAGGTATGATCAAGTGCTTCACCACGACCACGAGCAGCACCAATGAAGATTTCCATTTGCTCTCGTACGACAGGTTGGCCTATATAATCATCCAAAGAGGTTGGACGAATGGCACGATCAAAATGATCTTCGGGTTTTTCAGCCCCACTGATTAAACGGTCTTGCATGAGTGTCTTAATCTGTCTTATTTATTCATGGATTTAAGTGCAGCACGGATAATGTCGCTTGCTTCAGTATAGTCTGCTTTCACGGCATTAATCAGTTTTTGTGCTTCCAAAGGTTTATAACCTAAAGATTGCAATGCCGCTTCAGCTTCTGCAACAGCAGAATTGCCCGTAAATTGTATTTGAGTTGAAGTCGAATTACTCGGTGTGGTACCTGTAGCAAAGGCTTTAAAGCGATCACGAAGTTCAATCATTAAACGTTCGGCTGTTTTCGCACCAACGCCAGGGACTTTAACTAAGGTTTTAACATCACCATTCTCAACAGTATGTACCAACATTTCGACACTGAGTGTAGATAGAATACCTAAAGCCATTTTAGGACCGACACCATTCACTTTTAGCAGGGTGCGAAAGATGGTTTTTTCTTGAGCATTAGAGAAGCCATAAAGTAATTGAGCATCTTCACGGACGGCTAAATGTGTCCATAGGGTAACTTTTTGACCTTTTTGTAATTGGCAAAATGTTGAGAGTGGGGTATCGATCTCATAACCCACACCATTTACATTTAAAAGTACGGTAGGTGCTTCTAAAGCTAAGACTTCACCAATAAGACATCCGATCATTGAGTTTGTTCACTTATTTGTTAATGGTTGAATAGTAGATGCCATTTGCTCTAAACGCAAAATTGCTTTAAGAATTTCTTTGCGATTTCGGGCAGATTTTATCCAAGCAGGTAAACGATTAAAATAGGTTTTATTGGTATTTAAATAAGTTCTTTGTCTAAGGTTTGCAGAAATATAATCTTTTAAACAGTTAATATGTTCTTGATTATAGGCGAAAACAAGTCCATTTCTTGTTGCTACACATAGTGTTAGGCAATAACCAAAATAAGGATCTGTATTGAAGCCGCGATTAAATTGTTTGCGTATATCAAATTGGTTAGGATAGATCCGTTTGGAAATTGGGCAAAAGTTGCAATTCAATTCAATAAATTGAGGAACAAAACTCTTTTTTGCATAGTATTGATGAAACTGAAATTTTCCACGTTTACAACGACAAGTTTCTTCAATATCTAAATAAACTCCAGAGAAATAGCCTAAGTTATTTTCCTGTTTGGCTTTTTGGTCAAATGATTTACAACAATTTTGGCAACTAAAAAAGGGTTGCTCGAAATCAATATCATCAATTTTTTTCGTATAGACGGTGGCATTTTTTAAACAAAATGGACATTCTACTAAAATAGGTTGCCGAGAAAATCTATTCAATGTGATTCCATCATCTACAAACCGTTTCATCAAAAGAATCCTACTTTATTACCTTGGAGTTCTTGCGCTAAGTTATAGGCTTGATGGTCTGAAAATTTACTCACAATATCTAAGACTTGCATAATATTGTCATAGTGATGATCACTAAAGCGTGCACCAAAGCGTTCTAAAATAGACAGTAAACGACCATCTTTAAAACTTAATGTTTTATTCGGTGTCGTAAGGGGAATAAAGGCATCTAAAATATGCTGTAAACTCTGATGGGCAATAATTTCCAAACCTGATTTTTGCGGGTGTTCAAATATTTTTTCACGGGCAAGGTTTTTTGCTCGATCAATCCCAATCTCAATATCCTCAGCACAGTATTGCAGTAACGAACCTTTTAGCTGTCCTGACAAAATTTGATAATGTTGTTTTGCGAAAGCAGTGGTTACTTCATCTACCAGCCGTTTCATGACACGACCGCGTAAGGCTGCAATTTTTTGTTGCCAAGTCATATACGGCATACTAAGTTCAGCGGGAACGCCATAATCTCCTAACAAATCAAGAAAAATAGGTTCAACTTCTTCATAGCTGAGCATATTGAGAATAATACCGTCTTCTAAATCAATTAAGGCATAACAAATGTCATCAGCAGCTTCTAGTAAATACGTCAGCGGATGACGACACCAATGATACTCACCCAATTGAATTAAACCGAGTTGATCTGCAATCTGTTTAAGAATTTCTTTTTCAGCTTGATAACAGCCAAATTTAGCCCGTTTGCTTGCAGGAGTATTCCCTTGAGATTCGATGGTCTTAGAGAGCCAAGGATACTTTAAGTAAGCTCCTAACGTTGCGTAAGTAAGACGCATCCCTCCATCATGAGGATGATAGTCAATTTTAGTAAGCAGTCTTAAACCTTGGGCATTACCTTCGAACTGTCGTACATCTGCTTGTTGTTCAGGGCTCAGATCTTGTAAAAAATTTGTATGTGCAGCGTCATCAAACCATTCACGAATCGCATATTCACCAGCATGTCCAAAGGGTGGGTTACCGATATCATGTGCTAAACATGCAGCTTGAATAATTGCCCCTACATCCGCTGGGGAGATCCAAACGGGGAGTTCATTTTTGATTTTTTCAGCAGCGAGCATTCCCAAAGAACGGCCAATACATGACACCTCTAAAGAGTGCGTGAGCCGTGTATGAATACCATCATGTTGGGTCAGTGGATGAACTTGAGTTTTACGATTGAGTTGTCTAAAACTTTGCGAAAATATAATGCGGTCATAATCTTTATGAAATGGACTTCGTGCCTGTTCTGTACTTTGCTTTTTACTACCTAAACGAACTGTTGAAAGGAGTTCTAACCAACGCATTTGAGTCATTTATCATTATTCATTCTTTCGTTAATCGTATGATGCCAAATTTATTGAAAATGTACTAGGGGCGGGCGACATAAGTTGTCTTGGTAATGATTTATTCTTATATGAACACTAACAGGGAAATCAAATCAATTTAGCTATGATTTGACTATGGTTTAGAATTTTCAAAAATAAATGTTAGAGTCTCGCTTTATAAATGATAAGGAATAGGCTTTATATAAGATGAGTTTAAAAGATCAATTCGTTAGTTTTGTGCTTATTTTATGCTTACCAATAATTTATACTCATGGTGAAAACTATCCTATTATTGATCCTTCAAAAGAAATTTCTATTACAGAAAATGCATTAGGGCTACGCTCATTTGAAGAACGTACAATAATTGATTATACGTTTTATCCTCACAAGCAAACTGGGCAAAATCAGGTATTTAATGCAGATGAGATGAAACAGATAGAGTTAGAAAATTTCGAGCTCCAGAATATAGTTAAAACCTTGTATCCTTTCGATATTGTACAAATGAATGACTCACAATTTTCACATTCGAATACAAAATTATTTACCGCTGTTGAATATAAATACTATGAAAAATGTAATTGTATTGATGGTAAAAAACTCATTGAGAAAAATATCGTCGTTTTCCCCCGTAAAGCTATTCAATTCAAAAATATAAATAAGGAAAAGCGTTTTTTACTTCCAGTCGAAATATTCGAAATGCATGGGGCTGGACGAGAAATACGTATTACAGATCCTAAATTGGAACTTTATTTATTTAAGCAATTGGAAACTGGCAAATATCAATTGGTTACTCGCACACCAATAAATTATGAAGGTATCGATTCTTATGAAGGCTTTGAAACCTCCCTAAGTAAGTTGAGTGTTCCTGAAATTGCTTCAAATATTAGGCTAATTGGCGCAGATAGAAAGGGAAGTTTTTTCAGGTTATATGGTATAGCAAATGGAGCAAAGTACTCTGATTGGTATGTCTTAAGTTTGAAAGAGGATGAGTTTCTACGAAGCTATTTAGTCTCAAATGCGAGTGAGGATACAACAGAAATGTTTTATACACCTAAAGCACACAAGTTTGATTCAAAACTTTCTTTTATACCCGTAAAAGGACAGTCATATTATCCAATACAGATTCAATATAAAGGTAATAAATTTTATTTTTCTAATTATAAATTGGAAGATAAAAACCAAATCAATAGGGTGGAATTTGATCCAAGCTTGGGGGTTTATAGCTATGATTCACCGACTATGCAACGTATGTTGTCAAAGTAACGCAAAATAATGAAGGGTATTCAGTGAACAATAAATTTATATTGCTATTCATAATTTTTTTGTCAGGATGTAACCAAGTTGATAAAAATCTATCCAATCAAAACAAAGAAATTGAAACACAGAAAAAGATTGAAGTGAGTAAAGCTGAAATCGAAGAAAGCATTCCTGCGAAGCCTGAAGCAGTAGATCAAGCTTTCGCGACTTTTGCTTTTCAAGAAACGCCAGATGGTCATTTGACAAATAATTGTATTTGGACAGATGATCCAAATGCGCAAAATAAACAGTATTGGAGCATCTTACCAAGCAGTATGTTGAATGGAAAAGCTAAATTTACAATAGAGGATCTTACGCCTAGCAAGGTGAAGATTGGGCAACCAATTAAAAACTGCAACGAAGCTTATAAAAATGATACGGCAAACTATGCGTATGCGATCAATAAAAGTGGCGATTTGGTTAATGCGGTGGCCCTCAAGCTTGATCGAATGACTCAAAATGCGGATCATACGTATACAATTGATCTGAATAAAAACTTGCATCCTGAAAAAATCTATGTGTGCTATAACATGGAAAGTTTAGATGTATTTTTCATTGACTCTGCATCTCAAAACCCAAATTTAGAACATATCAATGTCCGATTATCCTATGATATTGATGGTGAAATCGATCCTGAGATTTCTTGTGGAAAAGTCTTTTATCAAAAAAGCGGAATCATTGCGAAAGAAGATCCTAAAACGGGTGAGTTTCATTATACAGCTCAATAATTCAATTGTTACGAATCATGTTTAAAGACGAAAGTCAAAGTAAATCGGATATTTAAAACCAAGATTTCAGCGTTTTTTAAGTGGGATATGACTAGCTGAAATCTTGCTTTCACAGTAGAATATGCGCTCTCTTCAAGTCACATTGAGGTAGGTTGCCAAAACCTGCCCGTGGAGCCAAAAACAGCATGTTTATCGTTGCCGGTGCACCTGCACACTCTTCTTTTAAGCAAACACAACTATTAACACGCCTTGCGTCGATCAGTTCTGTTCAATCAATAGAAAGCCAATGGGTTTACCTTTTCGACCAAACGCTCAACGAGCAACAACAGCAATCTGCTTTACAGCTTTTAAACGATGGCGCATCGTTTGAAGTTCGTCAGGCTGCAAGTGACGAAGTCCAGATTTTAGTCACGCCACGTGTCGGTACAATTTCACCGTGGTCATCTAAGGCAACCGATATTTTTGCCAATTGTAATACACCTGTACACCGCCTAGAACGCGGTGTTTTGTTTACTTTAAAGGGGATTTCTGAAATCTCTGATGCAGTAAAACAAATTTTACATGACCGTATGACAGAAAGCGTTTTCAATAAAATTGATGACGCAGCAGCTTTATTCTCTGAAACTGAGCCTAAGCCTTTAAACTCAATTGATATTTTGGGGCAAGGTAAAGATGCACTGGTTAAAGCAAACTCTGAGTTTGGCTTTGCCTTGTCAGATGAAGAAATTGACTATTTAACCGCAGCATTTAATAAGATGGGGCGTAACCCACACGACATCGAGTTGATGATGTTTGCTCAAGCAAACTCAGAACATTGTCGTCATAAAATCTTTGGTTCAGAGTGGACAATTGATGGTGAAAAACAACCATTATCATTGTTCCAAATGATTAAAAACACTTATAAAGAATCACCTACAGATGTTTTGTCAGCATATAAAGATAATGCTTCTGTAATTGTTGGTTTTGACACACAGCGTTTCTATCCGAAAAAAGATGAAGCCACGGGTCACCATATTTATAAATACAAGAGCCAAGCTGCCCACATTCTTATGAAAGTGGAAACCCATAACCATCCAACCGCAATTGCTCCATTTGCAGGTGCTGCGACAGGTTCTGGTGGTGAAATTCGTGATGAAGGTGCAACAGGCCGTGGTGGTAAACCAAAAGCAGGTTTAACGGGTTTTACGGTTTCTAACCTTAATATTCCAGGTTTTGAACAGCCTTGGGAAGAAAACTACGGTAAACCATCTCGTATGGCATCACCACTTCAGATCATGATTGATGGTCCTTTAGGTGGTGCAGCATTTAACAACGAGTTTGGTCGTCCTGCGTTAAATGGTTACTTCCGTACTTTTGAGCAAAATGTTAATGGTGAAGTAAAAGGTTTCCATAAACCGATTATGATTGCGGGTGGTTACGGGAATATCCGTCCTGACCATGTTGAAAAAGATGCAATTCAGCCAGGTGATTTACTGATTGTATTGGGTGGTCCTGCGATGCTCATTGGTTTGGGCGGTGGTGCAGCTTCTTCTGTAGATAGCGGTAAATTGGGTGAAAACCTAGATTTTGCTTCTGTACAACGTGAAAACCCAGAAATGGAGCGTCGTTGTCAGGAAGTGATTGATGCATGTTGGAGAATGGAAGACTTTAACCCGATCGTATCTGTACATGATGTGGGGGCGGGTGGTGTTTCCAATGCAATGCCTGAACTTGTGAATGATCACGAATTGGGTGCAACTCTTGATCTTCGTAAAATCCCATCGCTTGAACCTGGCATGTCGCCAATGGAAATCTGGTCAAATGAAGCGCAAGAACGTTATGTACTTGCCATCAAACCAGAATCATTAGAGTTATTTGAATCGATTTGTGCACGTGAACGTTGCCCATTTGCTGTATTGGGTGAAGCGACTGAAGCACGTCAATTGACTGTAAACGATCCATTGTTTGAAAACAAAGCAGTGGATATGCCAATGCAAGTCATGCTTGGTGGTACGCCACGTATGAGTCGTACATACGAAACGATTCAACGTAAAGGTGATGAGTTTGATGCATCTAAAGTTGATTTAAAAGATGCGATCTTCCGTGTATTGAAAAACCCGACAGTGGCTTCAAAATCATTCCTAATCACCATTGGTGACCGTTCAATCACGGGTATGGTATCGCGTGATCAGATGGTGGGCCGCTGGCAAGTGCCAGTTGCGGATGCTGCGGTAACCACAACAAGCTTACAAGGCTATACCGGTGAAGCAATGGCAATGGGTGAGCGTCCTCCTGTTGCATTGTTAAATCCTGCTGCTTCGGCACGTTTGGCCGTGGCTGAGTCCATCACCAATATCATGTGTGCCAATATTGAACAGATCAGTGATATTAAACTGTCTGCTAACTGGATGGCGGCCGCAGGTCAAAAAGGTGAAGATCAAGCATTATTCGAAGGTGTAAAAGCCATCGGTATGGAAATGTGTCCAGCATTGGGTATTGCAATTCCAGTGGGTAAAGACTCATTGTCAATGCGTACAACTTGGAATGACGAAGGCGAAGATAAATCTGTGACTTCACCAATGTCTGGTGTCATCACTGCATTTGCACCTGTGTTGGATGTTCGTAAAACATTGACACCTGAATTGAAAAATGAAGATTCAGTTCTGGTACGTATTGATTTATCTAAAGGTCAGTTCCGTTTAGGCGGTTCGATCCTTGCACAAGTGTATAAGGCAATTGGTTCTGTTACACCTGATGTTGATAACTTTGATGAGTTCAAAGCGTTCTTTGCATTGGTTCAAGATTGGAATAATCGCGGTTTGATCATGGCGTATCATGACATCGGTGATGGTGGCTTATTGGCAACTGTTGCTGAAATGATGTTTGCTTCACGCTTAGGTGTAGCACTTGAAGATCAATCTACTGAAAGCTTATTTGCCGAAGAAATTGGTGCAGTATTGCAAATTTCTAAAGCAGACTGGGCAAGTTTGACAGATGAAGTTGCAACTTCAAGTTTAAAAGAAGCGATTCGCGTTGTTGGTACTGTCAATGATTCTGATAAATTGTCAGTGAACGGTTTGGTACTTGATCGTGCTGAATTGCAACAAGCTTGGACTGAAGTGTCTCATCAAATTCAACGTTTACGTGATAACGTAGAAACCGCTGATTCAGAATTTGCATTAATTGGTGATAAAAACCATAAAGGTATAATTGCATTACCAACTTTTGATTTAAATGAGCCTGTTGAAGCACCATATATCAATGAACGCCGTCCAAACATGATGATTTTACGTGAACAAGGCGTGAATGGTCATGTTGAAATGGCTGCGGCATTCGATAAAGTTGGTTTTAATACTGTTGATGTTCACATGAGTGATTTACTTTCAGGTCGTGTAGATTTAGACGACTTTGAAGGGCTGGTTGCTTGTGGTGGTTTCTCTTATGGCGATGTTTTAGGTGCTGGTGGTGGTTGGGCCAAGTCTGTACTGTTTAATCCTAAACTTCGTGATCAATTTGAGAAATTCTTTAACCGTGACAATACTTTCTCTGTGGGTATTTGTAATGGTTGTCAAATGTTGGCTCAGCTTGCACCACTTATTCCAGGTGCAGACAACTGGCCACGTTTCCGCCGTAATACTTCAGAAGTATTTGAAGCACGTGTTGTGAATGTGAAAGTTGAGAAATCTCCATCGATTCTTCTAGAAGGTATGGAAGGCTCTATTTTACCAATCGCTGTTGCACATGGTGAAGGTCGTGCAGAAACTTCTGCTGAAAACTTTGCTGCGTTAAATGCGGGTAATCAAGTAATTTTACGTTATGTAGACAGCTTGGGTAATGCAACTCAACAATACCCATTGAACCCGAATGGCTCTCCTGAGGCGATTTCTGGGGTGACCTCAAAAGATGGTCGTGCAACGATTATGATGCCGCATCCTGAACGTAATTTCCGTGCAATTCAACATTCTTGGAAACCTGAAGAGTGGACAGAAGATGGTGCATGGTTACGTATGTTCCGTAATGCACGTAAGTTTATTGGTTAATTAGATCTAGACCAATGAATTGTAAAAGCCCCGTAAGGGGCTTTTTTGTTTTAAACTGATCAATATTTCTATCGCCTCCACTCAAAGGTAAGATTTATGCTGCCACGGGATAGTGGCACTATATAGGATTAAATAATGCAACATTAAAATGAGTTGATTTATATCAAGTTAATTATATTGATGAGTATAAGATAATTTTAGTTACAGTTTTAACTTTGGTTTATTTCTTGCATGTTATACATTGTCTATTAAAAGACCAATGTTTTGCCCCAAAAATGTTCCATGATGTAGCAAGAATGAGGTGATAAAATGATAAGAACAGTCAATTATTCAACAGCAGATAAGGTCATCCTTCGCCAAAAAGGCTGGAAATGGTTTAGTGTTATTTTAGTTGTACAAATGCTGATTATTCTCAGTGCATATTTAATTGCATAGCTAAAGAAGCGAGTACATTCTCTGATTGATAATTTTAGATGCTAATAACAAAAGCCACTTTATTGTGGTTTTTGTGTATTAAAGATATTTCATGAATCAAAAAATGATCATGTGAAGTGAATTATATTGGAATTGAAAGTTCCTTCTCCCTATGGGAGAAGGTTAGGATGAGGGTGCTTTTATGTTGATTTATGGTTTTAAAAAGGACTTATGAAAGAAGTCTATTATGAATTTTTATAATTTTTTTTCATAAAAATAAATGACCTAATCGTGACTTTAGAGTCCTTACAAAACTTATTGCTTTCGCAAACGACTGCTGGAAAATAATCTATGAAACAGTTTCAGAATATAAATAAAATAAGTTTACTAATAGTCGGTTTGATTTTTACGCAATTGGTAAATGCTCAGAATATTCAGATAGACACGCTTATCGATACTAAAGCGATCAATTGTTATGCACTTTTTCAACATCCTGAAAGTAAAATAGCTGTACTTTTACAAGATTTTAGCCGTGATGGGCAGAAAAATATAAAGCTGAATAAATCTAAACAGACGATGATTGTTGGTAATAATACATATTATGGTGTGCAAGGTTATCGCTATTATAAAACTGCACATACTGAACAGGATGACTTAGCAGTAGATAGTAATGTTTTTGGATCACAACTGATCAAAATTGCATTACAAAAATATAAATCGGGTAAAACTCAATCCAATGGTTACTATTTTGTATTTAAGGGTACACCGACAACGGTGCTCTATCATTTACGTAAGGTTGTGGGTGATGATTGGAATATTGAGAACGCTTTAGATGAAACACCACAAGGAAACTCAAAGTTGAGCTGTGGCTATACAAGGTAAATGAATGAATAGATTTATATTTCTAATACCAATACTGTTTTCACTTAGCGCATGTTATCCATATATAGAAAAAACCATACCTGAAATTGAAGTAACTGTAAAAGATTCTGAAGGGAAAATGGTGGATCTTGCTTATGTCGTTTTAACGACGACAGTTAAAGAGGGTAAAACGATCAAAAACTACAAGACTCAATATACTAAAAATGGCAAAGCGTATTTTGATATCAATAGATCTTTTGCACTGAATATGGGGTTGGATAGAAAGTATACATGGTCGCTCTGTGTATCTAAACAAGGCTATAAAAAGCAATATTACAGTATTTCAGATAAAAGTATTTTTGATATACATTTAGAAAGATTGGAAGATCCAAAAGTGAATCAAAAATGCCAGAACAATACACTTAGAATAAGGTGACTATAATTTCCCACATGTCAAAATTAATTTAGAAAAATCAAAAAATTTTTAAATAGATGAGTTTATGAAAAGAAGCATATTTCTAGTACCAATCCTGATTTCTTTAAGTAGTTGTTATCCGATATATAAAACACAGAAGCCTCAAGTGACTGTGACTGTTGTAAATGAGCAGGGAGTAGCAATTTCTGATGTAAAAGTCGTGTTAGTAACGGCAGTACATCCTGCAAAAATAGATGACCAGTATGATGAAAAGTTCACAAACAAATTGGGGATAGTGAATTTTGAAAAACAGGCCGAATGGAAAGTTGAGAGCTTAATGATTCATGGGGTACAAGTGTACGATTGGAATTTATGCCTTGCAAAAGATGGCTATATCACACAAGAATTTGTCGATGTCGGTAAAAAAGCGCAGATTAAAATCATTTTAAAGAAAGGTAAAACGCCATTAAAACAGTACCCATTATCAATGCTAGAAGGTTAATTATTCTGCATATCATATATTCAATCTTTTGAGCGATTGGTGGAATTGAATGCAGTCTAAAAGGGAGGTGATCTTAGTCAAGCATGTACAAAAAAACCACCCGAAGGTGGTTTTTCTGATCTTAAAAATTAATGTGTGGCATCAAAATTATAAGATTTTTGTTTTTCAGTATCGAACTTACCTTCCCATTTACTAATCACGAGAACAGCAAGTGCATTACCAATCACATTCAATACAGTACGAGCCATATCTAAAATACGGTCAATACCCGCAATAAATGCTAAGCCTTCTAGTGGGATACCCACGCTGCCTAAAGTTGCCAATAGAACCACGAAAGACACGCCAGGAACGCCTGCGATACCCTTAGAGGTAATCATCAGGGTCAAGACCAAAACAAGCTGTTGAGTGATGGTTAAATCAATACCGTAAAGTTGCGCAATAAAGATGGCAGCAATACTTTGATAGAGTGTTGAACCATCTAAGTTAAATGAATAACCGATAGGAACAACAAAACTGGTAATTGATTTAGGTGCACCATAAGCTTCCATTTTTTCCATCATACGTGGTAAAACGGTTTCAGAGCTTGCAGTGGAGTAGGCCAGAATAAGTTCATCTTTTAAGATTTTGATAATTGTCCAGATACTGAAACCACAGAATCTAGCCACAAAACCAAGCACAATAAAGATAAAGAACAGAATTGCCCCATAAACTAAAACGGCTAGTTTAATTAACGGTAATAATGAACTAAAACCAAAGTTTGCAACAGTCGCTGCGATCAAGCCGAATACACCAAACGGTGCAAACATCATGATCATGTGCGTTACTTTGAACATTGTTTCAGAAACAGCTTTTAACACGTCAATTAACGGTTGCTTGGTTTCTTTAGACAATGAACCTAGACCAATACCGAAAATGACTGCAAAGAAAATAATCGGCAACATGTGCCCATCACCCATTGCAGCAAAAATATTCGGTGGGATAAGTGAAAGAACTGTATTCACTAAGCCATGAGCTTCATGGCTGACTTCCTGTGTCGTTTCTTTATATTGCGAAATATCAGAGGTTGTCAGTGTAGACATATCAATGCCTGCACCAGGTTGGAATACATTGGCAGCAACTAAGCCTACAATAATTGCAACTGTCGTAATAATCTCAAAATAAACAATGGTTTTAAAACCAAGTTTACCGACACTTTTACTGTCACCCGCATTGGCAATTCCTAAAATCAGCATGGAAAGCACAAGTGGAATTACAATCATTTTGATCAGATTGATGAAAATCTTACCCAATGGTTGTAAAAAGTTTGCAATGATGTCACCGCGAATTTCAGGTGCGTTGTGCAAAAAAGCACCAACAAGAATACCTAAGAAGAGCGCAATAACAATTTGCCAAGCGAGGCTAATTTTCATTTTCTTCATACTGAGCCCTTAAAATTCAGATTTTGGCGAAAAGGAAAACTCTATCAAAAAAACACAAAAGAAATCCCGCTAAAGCATGTGGGTGCCTTAGGGTGGGAGATTCTGAGTATTCAGAGTATTTCGAAAATGGCCTATTCTGACGCTATTTGCGTCAGCAGTACTAACTTTTTTATCAAAAATGCGTTCAAATGATTAAAAATAGTTCAGTTTGATTAAAATATTCGATTTTATTGTTAATTTTAATTCATTATATAAATTAAATTTCACACAATTATTCTTATTTTTTATGTGTTTTGGTCAGGCGTATATATGCCCATATCATCAAAACTCCTGTTAAGCACACGAGATAAATTAACTTAGGAATAACCACCTGAATCGGTACACCCATTTGATTTAACTGAATAAATAAGTTAATTCCTTGAGTAGACGGGAAGAGGTGAGCAAAATACTGCATCCAAGTCGGCATTGCTTGCAGGGGCCAAGCTGCACCTGAGAGTAAAAATAATGGAATTGAGGTGAAAACGATCAGATGTCCAGCACGTTCTGAAATATCTAGATAGCTGGCTAAAAGCATTGCCATTGTAATCACGCAACTAATAAAAATCGGAACAGAAAACAGCATGCCCCAGAAATTGCCACCTCTTGGGTAGTCATTGATCCAGTAAGTGAAACCAAATAGATAATAGCAGCCGAGGCAGCCAATCGTGAGTGCTGCTAGATAGATTCCAAAAAATTCAGCGGTTGTGGCTCGCCATCGTTGCTCACGATACCCAGCAATCAACATGCACAAGCCCAGAACAATAGTCTGATGGATAATCAGCGGTGCAATTGCAGGAAAGATATAACTGCCATATCCTGAAAGTGTGTTAAACAACGGAATTTGATGGATCGGAAGCGCGACTTGGAAATGTGAAATTTTGCCAAACCTTTCGGCTTGCTCTGCAACCGCATTTTCAATTGCAGTGGCTAAGCCTAAACCAATCTGTTTGGTTTTAAGAAAATAAGCACTACTCAAATATAAACCAATACCACCAGCCTCACCTCGAACCACACTATTGGATAGGTTCTCAGGTAATAATAAAATACCATCGGCTTTTTGCTCTTGAACCATCCGTTTTGCTTGTTCAAAATTTCCAGTAATTTCAGTGATTTTTACATTGGGACTTTTGGCAACTTCAGTAATGATGGTATTACTTAGATAGCTTTGTTCTTCATCTACAATAATAATCGGCAAACTTTCAGCCGTTTGCGCTTTATAGGCTGTGGGATAAAAAATGCTATAAAAAAATACTGAAAGCACCATGGTGGTCAAAATAGACGAGTTTTTCCCAATATTTTTAAAAGTGTCTACATAGTATCGAGCGAGTTCTTTAAAGAATTTAATCATGTTTTGCTCCCTTTAAATTTTTATTGAGGAGTAAACTTGATAATGCAAAATAGAAAATACAATATGCGGCAAGGATAGCTAAAGGAACCATCGAAATAAAACTAGGACTGCCAACAACCCATTGTTCAGTTTGTAATTTCGCATAAGGTGTATAAGGAATAATGTTGGCCCAAAATTTGGTAAAAATTGGTGCATTATTTAAGGGAAGCGTTACGCCTGCAAAACTCAGCGAGGAGCCACCATAGACTGCAATAAATCCAAAAGTTTTAGATAAATTTCTAGTTGCGAGAACGACTGTACTACTGATCAGTGCATAGGATGAATAAAGTAAGAATTGTCCAAGTAAAATCATCCATAGGCTGCCAGCAATGAACCAACCTCGGATCACCACCAGCCAAAACAACCATGCCCAAGTCCAAAAACAGAAAATTAACACATAGACCATATTTTTTGCCAAAAGCGCACTCAATACAGACTTGCCTTGGACCCATTGATTTAAGGTACCGTATTTCAATTCTTGACCCACAGCAAAGGCTACACAACAACACAGCAATAAGTGCAAAATTGCTGGAATCATAAAGGGTTCTAAATAGAACTCATAACTGAGATTCGGATTGAATAGGGGAGAAATTTTTATATTTGCTGTGGAAAGTTCAGCATAAGGAATTTTATTTTCAAAATAAGAATTCTTTGCAAAATCAGCAATCGCTTCAACCGTAGAGAGAAGCATCGCTGAAGAGATCCCATTGCCAATACTAAAATAGGACTGATTAAAAGCAATACTGATCTGTGCATCTTGTGCTTGAACCATACGTTGTTCAGCACCTGCTGGAATATGCACATATCCCCAAATCTTGGTCTGATTGAGCAGATGTTCAACTTCATTGGGATTGTCTGATACAGTGTAGATTGAAAGCGTGTGATTATGACTAAGATACTTTTCTATATTGCGACTGAGTTCACTTTGATCTTGATCAATAATTGCAATCGGTAAATGTTCAGCTTTTCCTGCATAAAACATACTACTGAATAAAATAATCACAAAGAGCGGGGCAAGTGTGACTAAGCATAAATCCCATTTATGCTTGAGCAAATATTGAAGCTCTCTTAACATGCCCGTCCACATGCTTATTGGCTCTCTTTTAATTTAAAGATCACACTCATGCCTACTTTTAATTCAGGCACGGCTTCAGCGGGTGTAAGCTTGACTTTAAAACTACGAATATCATATCCACCTGTCTGACGTGTGGTTTTAATAGTTGCAAACTCACCCTCAGCATCTATATTTTTGATGTTAAATGACACTGTTTTATTGAGTGCGGGTATAAAACCATCTAAGCTTTTTGCTTGATAAACTTGGGTGTATTGATCTTCACGGACATTTAAACTGACCCAATTTTCTTCATCTTGAATAATACTCACAACAGGGACACCAATAGCCACCAGTTCTGAGGGTTTACCATAAGTTTTAGATACTGTGCCGTTTACAGGAGAATATAGTTTGGTTTCTGCCTCTAAAGCATTGGCTTCCGCAACAGCGGCTTTTGCAATCTCGACTTGTGCATCAGCCCCAGATTTTTGTTCAGCGGTACTGCCACGCTTTGCACGTGCATATTGCTGATAAGCGGCTTCACTCATTTGAGTGGCTGATTGTGCAGCGGCATGCATTTCATCACGGCGTTGACGTGAAATTACCCCTTGTGCAAAGAGGTTAGCACCGCGTTGATAGGTCATTTTTGCAAGATTTTCTTGCGCTTTTACACTTTGCCAATTGGCATATAAGGTATCAATGTTTTCTTGTTGAGAACCTCTGTCTGCCGTCGATTGTAAGGCTAAGGCGGATTGTAAACTTGCCAGCGCTTGTTGTTTTTTGGCAGCAATTTCTGGGCTGCTTAGAGTAACTAACAGTTGTCCTTTTTCAATTTTTTGACCATCGCTGACAAAGATGCCTTCTATTCGACTTGGAACTTTAGTGCTGACATGTAATGTTTCAGCCTCAACACGTCCTTGAATATCTACTGTTTTAGGTTGATAACTTTTCCATAGACCAAACGCAATCAATCCCAATAATAGAATTAAAATTATTGCGCCAATGACCAGAATTGTTTTCTTTTTAGATGGTTTTTGATCGTTGTTGATGTTTGTTGCGGCACTTTGTTCCTGTGCTGAATCTTTGATTGGTGTCTCTTTTTCAGATTCAATTTGGTCGGCTGTAGGTTGTTGCGCTACAGTTGCATCAGATAAAGCAGTCGGATCTGTATTGTTTTGTGTATTCATTTCTGGATGAACTAAATTTTCATTTGATGAAATATCTGAGTTTGCATCAGCTTGCGAAGTTGAAGATGAATCATTTTGTCCATTGTGATGGTCATGTTGTTTTGTCATTTTATGCTCCATCTTAACGAATATAATCTGTATTAGTTTGATTGACGTAGTCTTTAAATTGTTCAATAGAACCATGGCTTTGTAGCAAAGTTGCTAGAGAGAGTACGTATTTATAGGCATTGAGTGCTTTTTCTGTTTTGAGTAGGCTGAGTTGATTCTGTGCATCGATGACTTGAGTGGCGGTGCCCATATCTTCTTTAAATGATAATTGTTGGATTCTTAAATTCTCTAACACTGCTTGTTCATTTTGTTGCAGTAATTGATTGGACTGCTGTGCTGTGGCGAGTTCACTATAGGATTTGTAGATAATATTCTCAATCTCTTGTTGGGTGCGCGCTGTCATAAGTTCTGTTGCATATCTTTGTAATTCAGCGGCTTGGACATTTTTGTTTTTATCAATCCCTGAAAATAGGTTGTAGCGAGCAGCAACACCCACAATCCAGTTTTGGTTTTGATCTAAACTATATTCCCCAAACGCAAAAAGGGTTGGTTTTTTTGCGGCGCTCTGTATTTTGACATTCTGATTGGCAAGCTGCGTATCCATTTGCATTTTTCGAACCAGGCTTGAAGTTTCAGGATAAGAAGTAAGGAGTTGGTTGAGTGATTGGCTTTGCTGACGATTGACAAATAAGGGTGTCGTCAGTTGATCAATTTTGGATTTATGCAATAAATTTTGAAGTTGGAACTGACTGGCTTGTAAATTTGCTGAAGCATTTTGTTCTGAACGCTGGGCATTATTGCGCGCAACTTCAAATTGCATGCGCTGTCCTTTGCTAATAAATCCCTGTTTTTCAAGTTTGAGTGAATTGTCATAGTGTTGTTGCATTGCACTTAGATTGAATTGACTGGCATTGAACAGCTGTTGTTGTAATTGCACATTAAAATACGCCTGAATCACTTCAAAACGTTGTGTATCTTGCTGTTGTTTAGTATCGAGTTGACTACGTTCAACTTTTAAATTGGCAATCTGCTTTGTTGTCGAGGTAATCCCGCCAGTATAAATTGGCATCATCACAGAAACAGTAGGACGAACAACTTCATCTTCAAGGACAACATTGGCTGTATCTGGAATTAGGCCAATACCACTATGAATTCCTTGGTTTAGCCCTTGTTTTAAAGGATCTGTGATATTCGAGGGAATGTTCTGTTCAGATTGCCATTGATCAACCCGATCATTCACCCCTTGTGAAAGCGTCTGTTCCAGATTATTTTTGACCCCATTTAGCGGAATATCTGTTTCAGTATGAAACTTATAGGCACGTACATTTAAATCGATGCGAGGTAGACCAATATTTTTGACAGCCTCTGCTTGAAGTTTAGACGCTTGATTGAGTGCTTGATTGGCTTGAGTGGTATAAGAATTTTCAAGTAAATATTGTTCTGCTTGCACATAGCTTAGATTTTCAGCAAAGGTGACAGATACAAAGGCCGTATTGAAGGCTGCAAAACTGCTTACTTGTATCAATTTTGATAATGCTTTAAGTGAATAGAAAGTTTTAAATTTCATCTGAAAAATCATCAGCATTTGTTTAAATTTGAGACTATTCTAACCTTGAATGACTAGAATAAATAATCTAAATGTATACTTTAATATGTGTGGTTTTTGTAGTTTCGATAATCAGTATAAATCCGATTAAATTATAATCAAAATTATGATAATTCAATCAATAAATTGAATCTCAAAATAGATGTAGGGAGAATAAAAATGGCAAGAATTACCGTTGAGTCCGTGGTCACAGCACCAATCGAATTGGTTTGGGATATTTATAATAATCCAGAGGATATACAGCAATGGAATACCGCTTCAGCGGATTGGCACACGGTCAATTCTAAAAATGATTTACGTGTAGGTGGACAATTCTCAAATCGTATGGAAGCCAAAGATGGCAGTATGGGCTTTGATTTTGCGGGTACATATACTGAAATTATTCCCCATAAAAAAATTGCCTATTCTTTTGGCGAGCGAAATGCTGAAGTTCACTTTGAACAAAAAAATGATGCTGTTGTGGTGAGGATTAGTTTTGATCCTGAAACGATATATCCGATTGAGCAACAGCAAGCAGGTTGGCAAGCAATTTTAGATAATTTTGCACGCTATGTAGAAAATAAAGTTTAGTTCTGCACAAACGTACAATACAAAACATTTCCACAGACTTACTTTGATCTTCTGAAATTCGTTTATATCAAAGTTGAGTGTTGTTGTGGAAATCTTTCTTTATACCTTGAGTATGATGTATAGCCCCGGTCCTGTAAATTTCATTGGATTGAATTCAGGACTGCTTGGGCAGCTTAAACAATCCATCGGTTTTTTCATTGGGGTGGGTTGTGCAATGTTATTTCTATTTCTGACTTTGGGCTATGTTGGTGAGGCTGTTATTCCTCACCACTGGCTACACTATATTTCTTTGGTCGGGGCGGTGTATACATTTTATATGGCTGTTAAAATGTTGACAGCCTATTTAGAAAGTACTGAAAAAGCCGAACATCAACTGACCTTCTTAAATGGTTTCTTAATTCAATTGTTTAATCCTAAAGGGATTCTGGTAATTTTACCCGTCACGACAATTATGTATCCTGCGGCTAAAATTACAGGCGTAATGATTTTTATTGTATCTTTGATTATTTCAATGGGTGCTGCTGGAGCGCCATTTGTATATGCTTTGGCGGGCAAGTTTTTAGGAGATAAAATTTCTGATCCTAAATGGTTTAATTATTTAAATAAAATTATGGCAATCATGCTGATTGTTACAGGACTTGGAATGCTACGCGATTTTATTGTAGGAATGCATTTGCTGTGATTAATCACTAGCTTGAACTGAATCTGTGTGTATTTACGCCTAAGGCAAATGATTAATCTTTTTCCAATGCGCAGGGCTGAGCCCAAACGCTTGTTTAAAATGTCGGGTCATATGGCTTTGATCATAAAACCCTGCATCTGTTGCAGCCGCAACCAAAGAAGCCCCTTTGATTAAATTGATTTTAACTTTTTCCAGCCTACGCATGGTTAAATAACGATGTGGGCTGGTTCCAAACAATAAGCGGAAGTCGCGCGATAAACTCCAACGGTCGCGTCCAATATTTTTTTCTAAATCATCTAAGCTGATATTTCGTTCAGATACAGCATGAATAAATTCTCGAGCTTGTTCTGCTGCACGATAATCAAAACTCAGTCGTTGTGATAATGGTTGAACAGAAATTTCATTTAAAGCCATGGCCAGATCATACAGCGCATCTTCTTCTTCCAAGACTTCCATATGATTTTCAATGCTTTGTAGAAAAGTATTAGTGGCTTTAAATAATCGAGGATCTGTGCTGATCCCGTGTTCGATAAAGGGGAGAGGTTTACCCTTTAAAATAGATTGAATTTTTGCAGGTTCTATATACACCATACGATAGCGGAAACCGTCTTGTGTACCTGATTCACCATCATGTTTTTCATCAGGATGCAGCACCATCGTCATACCTTGCTGGCTATGTTGCATGACACCTTGATAATGAAAACTTTGAACGCCTGAAAGTGTACGACCAATGGCATAGGTATCATGCCGATGCGGTTCATAGGCATGATCATTAAAAAATGCTTCGATACGTTCAAATCGATCTGTTTCCGATGCTGTGCGAATCCAATCCTGATGATTTGATGTTGGCATTGAACATCTACCAATGAATAAAGTTTAAGCTGGATAAATTATAACTGAGTTAAGCTTATAAATTGAGTTTTATCCGTATATGAATATGAGCAACGGATGCTCTAGCCTTGTGCAGTCAGCTAGAAAAGCATGTTCGCAATAAGTCAATGTTTCAGGCTGATGATTAAAATATCCGTGAGCAGTCTAGCTATAATATTTTGCTTCTCTCAATATCGATAGTTAATTGAATTATCAACTCTAAATCTCTAAACATATTGAAATATTGACTGACAAAGCTACTGCATGAAAGGTCGATTTGTGGTTAAATGCGCCTATTTCATTCGTTTCACTTTTAAAAAGGGAAAAATCATGCGCGCGTACAATTTCTGTGCTGGTCCTGCTGCATTACCTACTGCCGTTTTAGAAAAAGCTCAGGCTGAGTTATTGGATTGGCACGGTAAAGGCTTATCCATCATGGAAATGAGCCATCGTAGCAAAGACTATGTGGCTGTCGCTGAAAAAGCAGAAGCAGATTTACGTAAATTGATGAACATTCCAGAGAACTATAAAGTATTGTTCTTACAAGGTGGTGCATCACTTCAGTTTTCTGCAATTCCACTCAATTTATTGGGTAAAAATTCTAAAGCTGATTATATCCATACTGGGATTTGGTCAGAAAAAGCCACTAAAGAAGCGCAACGTTATGGCGATATCAATATCGTTGAAGCGGCAACAAGCATAAATGGAAAGCTTGCAATTTCTGAGCAAAGTACATGGAACTTGTCAGACGATGCGGCTTATGTCCATTATGCTGAAAATGAAACAATTGGTGGTATTCAATTTGCCAATATTCCAGAAACAGATAAACCTTTAGTTTCTGATTTTTCATCAAGTATTTTATCTGCACCATTAGACGTATCTAAGTTTGGTTTGATCTATGCTGGAGCACAAAAGAATATTGGCCCAGCAGGTTTAACCCTTGTGATCGTGCGTGATGATTTATTGGATCAAGCAAAACCTGAAATTCCAAGCTTGTTAAAATATGGTTCACAAGCGAAGAATGATTCTATGGTGAATACGCCAGCAACTTATGCTTGGTATTTGTCTGGTTTGGTTTTTGAATGGTTACTTGAGCAGGGCGGTGTAGACGCAATGTATAAAACCAACCTTGAAAAATCTAAATTGCTATATGGTTATATTGATTCTAGTGATTTTTATAATAACCCGATCGCACTTCCAAACCGTTCAATCATGAATGTACCGTTTACTTTGGCAGATGAAGCATTGGATAAATTATTCTTGAAAGAAGCTGAAGAAAATCATTTACTCAATCTTGCGGGTCATCGTTCAGTGGGTGGTATGCGAGCAAGTATTTATAACGCTGTACCTTTGGACGGCGTACAAGCACTTGTCAACTTTATGGATGACTTTGCTCAACGTAACGGCTAATCTCACTTCAAAACATTTAAATGATTTGTTGTGGTCGATCAGGACCTAATTTTCTCCTTTGATTGAGTAAACAGGTAAAGCCCTAGACATAAAAAAATCCCTCCAGAGTGAGGGGTTTTTTTATGTGAGATAAATGTCGTAAAACATTAAGTCGTTGGGAATATGCCTAATATATGGATCATCATTGCAGCTAAAAACATACCCAGAACAAAAAAGCAGCAGGCTCCTTTATCCAAGCGTAAGTGAAAACCACTAACTTGATTGATTAGACTAGTCGATTGTTCAGGTATAATTTTCATTACTGAGCCTAGATTTTTAAATTATTGTTTAAATCCTATTGGTTCGTCGTATTTTTAACATAATTGACTGGTTAAATAAAGTGCTAAATTACATTATTAATATGTTGTGGCTTTTATTATCTCCCGATTAATAAAAATATTATGAATTTATAATCATGATTTTGTGGATACATTGTGGATAACTTGACTATTTTTTAGTCTTTATATGGAAAATAATCCGATTTAAGTATAAAAATGAAGTCTATTTTTCAACAAGATCATGATATTTATTGGTTTAATTTTTATACTTAAGCTGCTGTTTTTAAATTTATTTTTGAATTCGTTTTCTTGGGATTTTTCAAATAGGGGAATGTATTTATTATTTAAATAAACAGACGATATTCTTCAACTTAAATAGTTTTAAAAAGGCCTGATTATTTAAGTTTGAATTTAAACTGTGGATAACTGGTAAATTTGAATTCAAAAAGATAAAAAGTGCGAGGTTCTATTTAGATATAATAGAAATGTTACAAAACATGTAATAAAAAAGCATGATGGGTTTTCCATCATGCTGATCATGTGTTTTTTGAATCAAGCAGCAGAATAAATGTTTGCTTGAATCCAGATATTACCGCGAATATATTGTCCAATTTCAAAATTTTTGAAAGCAGGATCCTTTGTTGCGATACGGACTAAGATTGCGGGTTGGTTCTCTTCAAGAATTAAAGTCACATCATAAAGCGTGTAGTCTTGTTGCATAAACTGCATTTGAGTTTTACCGACCACTTTACCTTGAAACCAAGCTTCATCCTCTTGGCCTAGGGTTTCTCCATAGAGGTATGCCACCATTTTAGAAAAATCAACAGTAACAGGCGCTTTATCATCTTCTGACTTCGCTTCCCATGCATCAATTTGCTCTTGAAGGTTTTCAGGTGCAATACCATTATTTTGTGAAAGAATATCGTTTAACGCACGATGGTGTTTGATTGAAGCAGGATCATCAACAATGATTTGTTCATGGTCAGAAACTTTTTCAAGTTCATAGGCCCATGCATTCAGTTGAACTTTATATTGTTGATCTTGCAAATATTGATGGCCGTTTACACTGTACAAACTGTCAAATGCATAAACTACACTATTTGTTCCTACTTTTAAGCTAAGTACGGCTTGAGTATTAGTTTTACAGGTAATAATACGGTCAATAGAAGCATTTAATTGATAGGGACTTTCAAAACTTGGGAAAGCCGTTTTTACAGCTTTAGGTTTGTTATTCTCAACATCAATCACTTGACAGAGCTGTACAGAAGAACCGCTTGGACCTTGGATTAACCAAGTTGATACATCCATATCGCATTCTTTTGAACAAAGCCCCATGGGCATCACTGGTGCATCCAAAGCCAAACCTAACCATTTGGGCACTTCGGAAGTTGGATTTTCAGTCAATAGACTCCAATGTTCGACATGGCTACCAAAATTCTGATCTTCTATGATAATTGTTTCAGGTCTGTTTTGATTGTTCATTTTCACGATTTTAAATGCCTCTCTTATGCTATTAAATCGAGGGTGATTGCTAGATTTCAAGTCCTGAAATGTAAAATCATAAGAAAAACCAGAATATTAAGCTCAATTACCATAAACCACGCGCGAAATTGTACTTTTAATCACCAAAAGCGAGATGAAAAGTTTGATTGGATCTGAAAGTCGTTAAAGTTTTTCGCGATAAATAAAAAAATATGCATAGGACAGCGAAGCGGCATTTTGTTAAAATGTTGAAAAATCTTTATCAGAGATGTTGTGTGCTGCCATTTAAACTTTGGGTCGATGCAGATGCTTTACCTAAAATTCTTCGTGAAGTGATCTTACGTGCATCAGACCGTTATCAATTGGAAGTTACTTTTGTTGCAAACCAGCCTGTAGGTATTACACCGTCTGTACGGATCAACTCAATTCAAGCAATGTCGGGTGCAGATCAAGCTGACCAAGAAATTGTTGATCGTATGGGGGAGCATGATATTGTGATTACTCAGGATATCCCTTTAGCGGCACAGGTTATTGAAAAGGGTGGTGTGGCAATTCATCCACGTGGAGAGGTGTATACTTCAGCCAACGTCAAGGCTCGCCTACATTTGCGTGATTTTATGGATACTTTGCGTGGTGCAGGTGTACAAACAGGTGGGCCACCACCGATTTCTGAGCGTGATAAACGTGAGTTTTCGAGTAGCTTAGACCAAACCATTCTCAAGCAGAAACGTAGGACTTCGATATAAGTTTAACTCATGCTTTGAATAATCATCTGCGACTGATTTTTTCGACCTTTTGAATGACTCGACCTTGCTTTTCAATAGATCTTCACATTGCTTGATTAAGATTTAAGTGAATTTGCAAAGATTAATGTAGAAATTCATTTTTAAACCCAGCACATTTTAATTCACATCCAGCAGTCATTTAGGAATCTTTATGCCCTCCAAATCCAACCTGATGACGACCTATATTTTATTGGTCTTCATTTGGGCAAGTACGCCTTTGGCAATTGTATGGAGTGTGGCAGATTTACATATGATGTGGGCTTTGGTTTTGCGGTTTTTTATCGCCTTGCCGATTGCTTTAATTCTATTGCTGATTTTAAAGGTTAAATTACCGCGCAATAAAATTGCTTTACATAGTTATTTAGCCGGCTCATTTAGTCTGATTGGTTCGCAAATTTTTACCTATGCTGCAACCAGTTATTTAAGTTCAGGTATTATTGCTTTGATGTTTGGATTAGCTCCAATTATGGCAGGGCTCATTGGTCGTTTTGTTTTTGGTCAAAGATTATTGGGGATTCAATGGCTTGGGATGCTGGTTGCTGTTGTTGGCCTCGCCATTATTTGTACCAGTAGCGGGGCAAGTCAACATGTGCATCCTGTTGGAATCTTGTTGATGTTGATGAGTGTATTTACCTATGCTTTTTCCATCTTTTGGGTAAAAAAAGTAAATGCAGATGTCGTTCCAATGGCGCAAGCAACAGGTTCAATCTTGGTTTCTACCTTGGCTGCAATGTGTATTATTCCTTTTATTTGGCAGTATGCACCTACGCATATTCCCGAAACCAAATCATTATTGGCGTTGATTTATACCGTATTGATGGCTTCATTACTGGCGATGTTTTGTTATTTTAAATTGGTGCAAAATATTAAAGCTACAACCTTGTCATTGACGACTGTGATGACCCCTATGATTGCCATGTTTTTAGGTGCGATGCTCAATAATGAGAAACCGACAATGAGTGTGTTTATTGGTGCGGCGGTTTTGATCTTTGGACTAATTTTATACTTTTATAAAGATTTTAAAGCACGTCACTTGCTGGCTAAAAAGATTGAAAATTAGCATCGATTTTTTCTTTTTCCTTTAGATTTTATGCACAGTGATTAACCTCAAACTAAGTTTGGATTGATGCTTTTGAAATAAGATGTGTTTTTAATTTTTATACTAAGTTAATCATGATACTTACAAAATGATGAAAGCCAATATGAGTCATTTTAAATAAAGCACTTTGTATAAAATAGTATATTTACTTCACCATTTTAGATAAAAGCAATCATGATAATAATTGAAGATATTGAGATAAAAGAATAAAGATAAATGGCATAGGATAAAAATAATAACCAAAATGAGTTGAAGAGAAATGACGAAGCAGATCCGCTTTAACGCCTTTGAAATGAATTGTATTGCACATCAATCTCCTGGTTTATGGCGTCATCCTTCAGATCGCTCGACAGAATATAAAGATATTGAGTATTGGACTGACCTTGCTAAAATCTTGGAAAAGGGCGTGTTTGATGGCATTTTTATTGCGGATGTACTCGGGATATATGATGTTTACCACCACAGCGCAGAACATGCATTAACAGGTGCAGTACAAGTCCCGGTCAATGATCCTTTGCAAATTGTTCCAGCGATGGCTGCGGTAACACGGCATTTAGGTTTCGGTGTAACTACATCAATATCTTTTGAACATCCTTATCCTTTTGCACGAAGAATCAGTACATTAGATCATCTTACCAAAGGTCGGGTGGGATGGAATATTGTCACCTCCTATTTGGAAAGTGGTTCTAAAAACTTAGGACTAAATACGCAATTAAATCATGATGATCGCTATGACATTGCCGATGAGTATTTAGAAGTGCTATATAAGTTGTGGGAAGGGTCTTGGGAAAGCGATGCTGTTTTAAGAGATAAGCAGGCTGGGATCTTTGCAGATCATACAAAAGTTCATCCTATTTCACATGAGGGGAAATACTTTAAAGTTCCTGGTATTCATATTTGTGAACCTTCGCCACAACGCACGCCTGTACTGTACCAAGCAGGTGCTTCAGCTCGTGGACAAAAATTTGCAAGCCAAAATGCCGAATGTATTTTTATTGCACCACCGTCAAAAATAGCAGCCAAGAAAATTGTTCAAAGTATTCGTGAAAAATTAAAGCAGGAAGGACGAGATCCTTATGCTGTTAAAATTTATAGCTTATTGTCAATTGTAACCGATAAAACGGATAAAAAGGCACAGGCGAAATTTAAAGAATATCAGTCTTATGGAAGCTATGATGGTGCATTGACCTTGGTATCTGGTTGGTCTGGTGTGGATTTTTCACAGTATCAACCTCATGATAAAGTTGAGTATATTGAAACTAATGCGATTCAATCGATGTTAGATGCTTATGTCAATGCAGATCCTAAGCGTATTTGGACAATTGAAGAAATTGCCCATTGGAATAGTGTGGGGGGAAATGGTCCTGTATTGGTCGGTTCAGCACAAACGGTTGCAGATGAGTTACAACAATGGGTAGAAGATACCGATGTTGATGGTTTTAATTTAGCCTATATTCTTGCTCATCAAACTTTTATTGATATTGTAGATTTTATTGTACCTGAGCTACAACGCCGTGGTGTTTATCAAACAGAATATCGTCAGGGGACTTTACGAGAAAAACTATTTCAACAAAGTGCTTATTTGCCAGAGAATCATCGAGGTGCACAATATCGTAAAGAGAATACGGATAGATTGGCACAAGCAAGTTAGTTTAAATTTAATTTTAAATATGCATTTTAAATAATTATTTATTGCATATTGATTTAGCTTATTAGTTAGAGCCCAGCCCACATAATGTGGGCTTTTTTATGATTTTAATAGTTATGAATTTTAATGATAAATTTATGATTTTGTTTTGAATAATAAATGCATTTATTCGTATAAATAGCATAAAAAAATAATGCTAGTTTAAATCCATGCTTATTTAAAAGAGTAACAACAATGACGGATTTAAACCAAAAAAACTTTTCTTCTCAGACAGCGGTTCCTTTGCAATTTTTTGAATTGAATCATGATGCACATGTTATTCAATCGGATGCGGAAGCCATTCAAGTAGCGAAAAATTTGGCCAAAGAATTTGCCAAAGAAGCATCACAACGTGATTATGAACGTCGTTTGCCGCTTGAGGAGATACAGCTCTATTCACAAAGTGGTTTATGGGGAATTAATATTCCTCAGGCATTTGGTGGGGCTGAAGTGAAATATCGTACTTTAGCGGAAGTAGTGAAGACCATTTCTAGTGTAGATCCTTCACTTGGACAAATTGCTCAAAATCATTGGGCTTTTATTGAGCATCTCCGTTTAGATGCCAGTCCTGAGCAGCAACAATTTTTCTTTGCTGAAATTTTAAAAGGTCGACGTCTGGGCAATGCGTTTTCAGAAAAAGGCAGCAAGACCGTTGCTGACTTAGAAACCAAAATACATAAAACAGCCCAAGGCTATGAAATTAATGGTCAAAAATTCTTTGCTACAGGGGCTTTATTGGCACATTGGGTACCTGTTGTAGCAGTTAATGAAGAGGGGTTGCCTGTGGTTGCCTTAACGCCACGGACCAGTACAGGTCTGGAAATTGTTAATGATTGGTCTGGATTTGGACAAAGAACCACAGCGAGTGGAACTGTGTTATTAAAACAAGTTCAAGTCGATGAAAAATATATTGTGCCGATTCACAAAGCCTTTGAAAGACCTACAGCAGCAGGTGCTATTTCTCAATTTATTCAAGCCGCAGTAGATGCTGGTATTGCTCGTGGTGCAATTGATGAAACGATTCAATATGTACGCTTACATTCACGCCCTTGGATTGACTCAGGTTTAGAGAAAGCCAGCGATGATCCGTATACCATTGCAAGTATTGGGGAGTTAAAAATCAAATTACGTGCAGCCGAAGCTGTTTTAGACTTGGCTGGTGATGCAATTGATCAAGCAATTGCCAATCCATCTGAAGAGAATGCTAATCAGGCGGCATTACTGGTCGCAGAAGCCAAGGTATTAACAACTGAAATTGCCATCCTAGCTTCAAATAGATTATTTGAATTATCAGGTACTCGTTCAACATTGTCTGAATTAAATTTAGATCGCCATTGGCGTAATGCACGTACTCATACTTTGCATGATCCTGTACGTTGGAAATTTAATTTAGTCGGTAATTATTATCTCAATAACATTCACTTACCACGCCATGCGTGGAGTTAAGAATAAAAATAACCAACAGATGGAGAGAAAAAATGGGTAACTTAGATATTCAAAACCGTTTTATTGAGGATTTATCAATCTCAGCAGACTATGAGAAGGTTGCGTCAAAGTATCGTGCAATTTTTGAAAAGATTTCACAAGGTGTCGTTGAGCGCGAGCAACAGCGTATATTGCCGTATGAGCAAATAGACTGGTTAAAACATGCAGGTTTTGGTGCATTACGTGTGCCAGTCAAGTTTGGTGGAGATGGGGTGTCTTTACCTCAGTTATTTCAATTGCTCACTGAACTTGCAAAGGCCGATTCAAATATTGTGCAAGCATTGCGGGGGCATTTCGCTTTTGTTGAAGATCGATTAAATGCACATAAGTTTAAGAATCAAGAATTATGGTTTAAACGCTTTGTTCAAGGTGATTTGGTGGGGAATGCATGGACTGAAATCGGTCATGTAAAAATTGGTGATGTGATTACCCGTGTAACTCAAAATAATAATCAATTGCTGGTCAATGGGAAGAAGTACTATTCAACAGGTACAATCTTTGCGGATTGGGTTGATTTGTTTGCCTATGATGAACGTACTGATCAGCATGTTATTGCTGCGATTTCTCGACATGCTTCTGGGGTTGAAGTACAGGATGATTGGGATGGTTTCGGTCAAAAAACTACGGGGAGTGGCACTTTAACGTTAAGCAATGTTGCAGTCGAAGCAGACCATATTTTGCCTTTTGAGCAACGTTTTAAATATCAGACTGCGTTCTACCAAGTGATTCATTTGGCGACCTTATCGGGGATTGCACAGTCAGCAGTTGCAACATTTATTCATGAAGTACAAAAGCGTGATCGTATTTTTAGTCATGGCAATGCTGATTTAGTACGTAATGATCCACAGATTTTACAAGTGATTGGTAAAGCTTCCGCACAAGCCTATGCAAGTGAAAGTATTACCACTCAAACAGCAGAAGCTTTGCAGCGTGCATATATCAGCCATTTTAGTGAATCCGAAGTAAAAAATATTCAAGCAAATAATGATGCTGAATTAGAAGCGGCACAAGGGCAGGTGGTTATTTCTGATTTAGTCTTGGAGTTAACCAGTAAGTTGTTTAATGCGCTTGGCGCATCTGCAGGTACCACCACAAAACAACTTGATCGCTTCTGGCGCAATGCGCGGGTCGTATCTTCACATAATCCAGTCGTATATAAGGAAAAAGTGATTGGTGATTGGGAAGTCAATCGTGAACCATTACCTTTTGTTTGGCAAATTGGAACAAGTCCAAAAGTTGGCGCTGCATAAAATTTAAATTTTAACCACCTTTAGTTCAAGGCTTGCTTATGCAAGCTTTTGATTTTTATAAAGACTATAAAGAAAAATAATTATTGTACTCATGAGTATACAAAATGGCAGATTTGGTACTATGAGGAGAAAACAAAGTTAAGTAGATTAGGGTCTGTTGACACTTCTTCTATGTTTGCGACAACGAGTGTTTTTTAGACGATATGAGGCGAGAAATACGAAATTTAGTCATTCTAAATGAGTAGTTTGTAACGACATAGCGGCAAAAAACACACTAGTCCCGTAGGGTTGTGGCTAAAATTATCTCAGTCTGCGTTATGAAACTCAAAAATAGTCTCGCTATTCTTTTCGTTTCATGCCTTATCTGCTCAATTTTAGCCTACAACGCAAGCCATTTATGAAATATCAACAGACCCTAGTACAGCAAAAAACAAATACAACGAGGAAATCATGTCGCTTAAAGGAAAAACACTTTTTATTACCGGTGCAAGCCGAGGAATAGGGCGAGAGATTGCACTAAAAGCTGCACAAGATGGTGCGAACATTGTGATTGCTGCAAAATCTACACAAGAGCATGCTAAATTAGGAGGCTCGATTTTTACTGTTGCTCAAGAAGTTGAGTCGGCAGGTGGTCAAGCTTTAGCACTTCAGCTGGATGTACGTGATCAAGATGCGGTTGCGCTTGCCATGAAACAAGCAGCAGCGCATTTCGGTGGAATTGATATTTTAATTAACAATGCTGGTGCGATTAAACTGTCTGGTGTGGAGACGCTTGACCCAAACCGTTTCGATTTAATGTATCAGATTAATACACGTGCTGTGATGGTATGTAGTCAAGCAGCATTACCATACTTAAAAAACAGTGACAATCCACATATTTTAAATCTTTCACCGCCGTTAAACTTGGATGAAAAATGGTTTGCCAGCTATGCACCTTATACCATTACTAAATATGGCATGAGTATGCTGACTTTAGGAATGAATCAAGAGTTTGCCAGTTATGGAGTGAGTGTAAATTCACTTTGGCCGAGAACGATTATTGCCACAGCTGCAATTGAGTTTTCTTTAGGTGGTAAGCAATTATTTAGCAGAGCTCGTAAACCGAACATTATGGCAGACGCCGCTTATCGTATTTTAAACAGTGAGCAACGTGCTTTAACAGGACGGTTGTTGATTGATGAAGAAATTCTACGAGAGTCGGGTATTACAGATTTTTCTGAATATCGCTATGCTGATTCAGAGGATGAGTTGATGGTTGATTTGTTTGTTAAAGAATAATTGCTGAGCGGATCGCGCCAATAATCCGTACCGATTTTAAAATCCTAGTTTGATTGTTTAAAATCGGTACATTAAAACATTGGAAATTTTTATAAAAAAGCAGAATATATAATATTGAATCTAAAAATGAGTGAGATGTAATTTCGTGTATGAGTTAGATTGTAAGTTGCTCAGTATTTTTTACTATATCTACAAGTTTAAAAGTGTTTCTGTTGCCGCAGATCATTTAGCGATGAGCCAACCTACAGTAAGCAATATTCTGAACAAAATTCGTGTTCATTATAACGATCCGTTGTTTTTACGGATTGGTAATGAAATGGTGCCTACAGAATTATCTAAACAACTTTATCCTTTGATCAGTGAAGCACTGAGTAAAGTTGAAATTATTAATAATTTTAGTGTGGATTTTGATGAAACAGCATCACAGCAACAATTTACAGTTGCGATGACGGATGTTTCTCACTTAGTTTTATTGCCTAAAATATCTCAATATCTCAAAGCACATGCACCGCATGTCAAATTAAATGTTCGCGCCATCACCTCTGAAACCAGTTATCAGATGGCAAATGGTGAAATTGATTTGGCGATTGGTTTTTTACCGCAATTAGAAAATGGTTTCTATCAACAAAAATTATTCGAACAATTTTATGTGGTGATTGCATCTAAAGACCATCCACGATTAACTCAACAAAGCATGACCGTTGAGCAGTACTTGAGTGAATCACACATCGATATTGATGCGGGTGTGGGGCATTATCACATCGCCAATGAGTTGTTAAATTTGGATTTAAAACGTGATGTATTGATGCGTATCCCGAGTTATCTTGGTGTTGGATTGGTGGTGCAAGATACTGACTCGATTGCAACCGTTCCTTATTATTTGAGTGAGGTCTTGTTGTCACGAGGAAACTTACAAATTTTTCCAGCACCAATTTCGTTTCCGACTTATTCGATTAAGCAGTATTGGCATATGTCATGTCACCATAAAACTAGCCATCAGTGGTTAAGACATATGTGTTATGAGATTTTTAGTCAGGTGAACTCAATGCCTTTACCCAGTCAGTTATTGGGTCATGCCGATCAGCCTGAAGTTTAGAGGACTTTTAAAACTTAACAGCTTAAGAACAGTTATTCTTTTAACATTAATTCGCTTGATGCTCTGAATCGGTTAGCTTATCAGGTGTCATCAATGCTTGATTGACATAGAGTTTGATTAAGCGTTCACGAGAGCCAATAGACTTTTGATAGTGCGTAGAATTTAACAATAATGATGCGCCATAAGTTACTGTCCAGATATAAGACAAGTAATCACGGATTGACATACTACTGTTTAAGGCTTTGAGATGTGCTCCGAAAAGATCTTTAATTTCTAAAATACGTTGCTCACGTATGCTATAAAGTTCTTCGAATAAGTCTTTGAGTTTACGTTCGTTATTGGTTAGACGCTCTTCAATCACATGCAGTAAAATTGTTCGATTCGAATTTAACATGTTATATAACATGTATTCAGATACATAGATTTTAATATCGTGATGATAGGCTTTAGAAATATCTAAAAGTCGTTTTTCATTCAAAATAATCAGTTCAAGATACAGTTGGTTTTTACTTTTAAAATGTTTATAGATCGTTCCTTTTGCGATATCAAGTTCAGCAGCAAGCTCACTTAACGTAATATCCTGATTATTATCAAGCAATAAGGTTTCTGCCATTGCTAAAATTTTCTCTTTGCGAAGAAGAAAATTCTGTTGGCGCACTGAACTCATTCTATTGATCCAAAACCGCTGATGAAGAACTGGACTCAGAGTATATCAGCTATTTTGCTGATTCAATAAAACTATAGTCCATCATATTCAATAAAATATTTATTTTTTCAATATATTTAGGGTCTGTAGACATTTCATAAATGGCTTGCGTTGTAGGTTGAAATTGAGCAGGCAAGGCATGAAACGAAGAGAATAGCGAGACTATTTTTGAGTTTCATAACGTAGGCTGAGCTAATTTTAGCCACAACCCTGAGCAAGAACAAAGCACTGCTTTGTTTGCAGCGCAAGGCGCAGCGGGGGACTAGCGTGTTTTTTGCCGCTACGTCGTTTCGAACTACTCATTTAGAATGACTAATTTTCGTATTTCGCGCCTCATATCGGCTAAAAAACACACGTCGTCGCAAACATAGACGAATTGTCAACAGACCCTACTGATTTAGATTTTATATAAGCAAATTAGCGATGTTAAAAAAATTAATGAACAATTTATAAAACCTAAACTTAAGTATGGTCATACAATGAATATAAAGAAACTGTAAGAGATGTACCGTTTAAAAACAGCTTTAGTCAGCAACGACTTTACAAAAAAACCTGATCATTTGATCAGGTTATTCTTTTTAATAAAGGTCTTAGAAATTAATCCGCGCGGCGCCAAATGGTACCTTGACGTGTATCTTCCAGTACTACACCTTGAGCAAGCAAAGACTGACGGATTTCATCTGCACGGGCAAAGTCTTTATTTTTCTTGGCATCAACACGTTGTTGAATGAAATCTTCAATATCAGCTTCGGATAAACCAAGTGCTTCTTGACCAATGTCTGATTTTAAAAACTCATCTACATTGTATTGAACCAAGCCAAGAATATTGGTCAAGTGGCGTAAAGTAGAATAATAAAGCGTAGATTGCGCTGCATTCTCTTCTTTAACCGCACGATTCAATTCTTTAATAATTTCGAATAAAACTGCAATTGCTTCAGATGTATTGAAGTCATCACGCATTGCTGAATTAAAGCGCTCGACGAGCGTTTCATCTAACAGATCTGTGGTTTTATCGCCATAGACTTGTTGATATGCTTTAAATGCATGATAAAAACGAGAAAGCGTAGTTTTTGCTTCTTTTAGTGCAAAGTCCGAGAAGTTTACAGGGCTACGATAGTGTGATGACACAATAAAATAACGAATCACTTCAGGATGAAATTTCTCCATCACATCACGAATGGTAAAGAAGTTGCCTAAAGATTTAGACATTTTTTCACCATCGACATTGATAAAGCCAACATGCATCCAGTAGTTTACATATTGTTCATCTGTTGCTGCTTCTGATTGCGCAATTTCATTTTCATGATGTGGGAATAAAAGATCTGAACCGCCACCATGAATATCGAAATGATTGCCTAAGCAGCAAGTTGACATTGCTGAGCATTCAATATGCCAACCTGGACGGCCATTGCCCCAAGGTGAAGCCCATGATGGCTCATTTTCTTTAGCATGTTTCCATAGCACAAAATCAAATGGATGTTTCTTCTCAACTTCAACATCAACACGTTCAGAAGCGCCAGCTTGCATATCGTCAAGTTTACGTCCTGAAAGTCGGCCATAGTTCTTAAATTTTTCAACTTCAAAATAGACATCGCCATTTGCAGAAGGGTAAGCCGTGCCTTTATTGACAAGGTTACCAATCATATTCTGCATTTGATCGATGTAATCTGTTGCGCGTGGTGCCTCATCAGGTGCTAAGCATCCTAGGTTTTCGGCATCGTCATTCATCGCCTTGATAAAACGATCGGTCAAAGCTGTAATGCTTTCGCTATTTTCATTGGCACGCGCAATAATTTTGTCATCGATATCTGTGATGTTACGAACGTATTTAACATTCCAACCTTGGCTACGTAAAAAACGAATAATGTAGTCAAAAGCAACCATCACCCGAGCATGGCCTATATGACAGTAATCATAAACTGTCATACCGCACACATACATGTCGATATGTCCTTCTTTACGGGGAACAAATTCAACTTTTTTTCGTTGCTCAGAGTTGTAAAGAACAAATGGTTGCATAGGTTTTCTAAAGGCTTCAATAAAATGATGATTAATCTTAACCTAAGCTCCATATTTCATAAAGTTTTATACGTTATTTTTCTAAGAAAATGAAATTTATACATTTAGGAAAGCAGCCTATTGTATTGCTATGCTAAAATAGCAAAAATATTCCATTCGATATTCAAAACTCTTTATTAGAGTTAAGGTTAGCCCATTTTGAATCCTGAAAATAAATCAAATCAAGTTGATTTTCAAAAAGTTGCACTTGAAACTTTACGCATTGAAGAACATGCCATAGAGATTTTAGCGACTCAAATTGATGAACGCTTTACGCGCGCATGTGAAATTATTTTACAATGCCAAGGTCGTTTAGTGATTACGGGTATGGGGAAATCTGGGCATATTGGGCGGAAAATGGCAGCAACTTTCGCATCAACAGGGACACCATCATTCTTTATGCATCCTGGTGAAGCAGGGCATGGCGATTTGGGTATGTTGGTCAAAGGTGACGTGTTGATTGCAATTTCAAACTCTGGAAAGAGTGATGAGATTATGATGTTGATGCCACTGATTAAGTATTTGGAAGTGCCTTTGATCACCATCAGCGGTGATGACAAAGGACCTATGCCACAAAATGCAGATGTTGCGTTGACACTTGGAAATATCAAAGAAGCATGTCCATTAGGTTTGGCACCAACCTCAAGTACTACTGCAACATTGGTATTGGGCGATGCACTGGCTGTGGCATTATTAGATGCACGTGGTTTTACTGCAGATGATTTTGCAATGTCACATCCTGCGGGTGCGTTGGGTAAACGATTGTTGTTACATGTTAAACATTTGATGCGTACAGGCACTGATTTACCTAAAGTATTTCCTGATACACCAATGAATAAAGTTTTGTACGAAATTTCTAACAAGCGTTTAGGTTTAACCACTGTTGTCGATGAAAATGATACTTTATTGGGCATATTTACCGATGGTGATTTACGTCGTTTAATTGATAGACAGCAAGGTTTTGATGTGAACTTGCCTGTTTCCGCGGTCATGGTTCAAAACCCTTCAACCATTTCTAAAGAAGCACGTGCAGTTGAAGCTTTAGAAAAAATGAATGAAAAGAAAATTAGTCAATTTATTGTCGTCGATGATGCCAATAAAGTGATTGGTGTAATTAGTATGCATGACCTGATTCAAGCTGGAGTAAATTAATCAATGGCTTCTTATGTTTTACTGGAACAAGCGCGTCATATTGAAGCATTGGTTTTAGATGTAGATGGTATTTTGAGTGATGGTTTTGTGACGTTGACCAATACAGGGGATGAAATTAAATCCTTTGATATTCGTGACGGATTGGGCATGAAACTGGTGCAAAAATCTGGGATTAAAGTCATCATTATCACAGGACGTAAAAGCAATATTGTTGAAAAACGTATGGCTGATCTGGGGGTGGATTTGGTCTTTCAAGGTCGTGAAGACAAAGGGACTGCACTTAAAGAAGCTTGTGCTCAATTCAATTTAGATCCTGAAGACTGTTTATATATGGGCGATGATTGGCCAGATCTTTCTGCCTTTGCAATTGCAGGAATGAAAGTCACTGTACCCAATGGGCATGTTGAAGTGCGTCGTCGAGCAGATTTAGTCACTCAGGCGATGGGTGGGCGTGGAGCGGTGCGTGAAGTCTGTGATATGTTGCTGATGGCAAAAGGCACTTACCAAGAATTACTTGAAAAATATACAGCTATACCGCATTAATAGCGTAAATTCAGATTGATCAAATGTTGAATGTAATTTATGGATACTAAGGTTTTATATGTGACTGCAGTTGTCATCGCGGCAATCAGTGGTGGCTATTACTATTACAGTGGAAAAGGCAAAAAGTTGGATGCGAATTCAGCAAAAAGCATGACGTATACTGCTGAGGGTATCCAGTTGGTTCAAACAGATGAAAAGGGTAATCTTTATGTTCGTGCTCAAGTGGATCGTTTAGAGCAGGATTTACAAAGAAAAACTTCAACATTGAGTAATCTCAATGCTTCGATGTTTCATCAAAATAAAGTAGATTCAACTTTTTTTGCAAAAGAAGCACGAGGATTTAATGACAATGAAAAAGTCGTTTTATCTGGACAAGTTAAAGCGACCAAGATTGGTGAACGAGGGACCATGGAATTTCAAACAGACGAGTTAACGGGTTACCCTAAAATACGTCAGTTTGAAACGACTCACCAAGTGACTGTTAATGCACCTGATGCAGAATTTATTAGTCAGGGTTTAAAAGCTGATTTAAACCAAGGTCAATATGAATTTGCACATATTCGAGGAAAGTATGTACCTAACTAAGCCTTTTTTAATGAAACAATCTTTCCTAATAAAAGCGATCTGCACTGCCAGTTTAATGGGCTTGTCTGCAGCAGCATTTGCATTACCGTCAGATCGTAATCAGCCAATTTCATTGGTTGCAGATAAAGCAACCTATAATGAAGCTGCGGGTGTAACGACATATACCGGTAATGTCATCATTGAGCAAGGTACTATGAAGCTTCAAGCTGCTTCAATTGTGGCTCAATTGAATAAAAATAAGCAAATTAGTACCATTACTGCCACTGGGGGCCCAGCAAAGTTTCAACAACAAGTTGATACGGCTAAGGGTGTTGCTCGTGGAGAAGCGCAAAAAATTATTTATAATGCTGAAACAGGTATTATTAATCTGATTGGTAATGCTTATTTATATCAAGATGGAGCAAGTATTCGCAGTAGTTCATTAAAATATAGTATGAACAAAGGTGATATTGAGGCTTCGGGTAGTTCAAATAGCACAGGTTCAGCGAAAGGACGTGTACAAATTATTATTCCGCCAAATAGCACCAAGTCTTTCCCTGGAGCGCGTGATTAATGACAGCATCGAATCAGCCTCAAGTACTTTGTATCAAACATTTAGCAAAAGTTTATAGTAAACGCTGGGTGGTCAAAGACGTTTCATTTAGTATGCAAAGTGGACAGATTGTGGGTTTGCTTGGGCCGAATGGTGCGGGTAAAACCACCAGCTTCTATATGGTCGTTGGTTTGGTGCGAATGGATAAAGGTGAAATTCATCTTGATAATGAAGATATTTCTGATTTAGCTATGCATCAGCGTGCACGTAAAGGAATTGGTTATCTTCCACAGGAAGCTTCAATTTTCAGGAAGCTAACCATTGCTGAAAATATCATGGCCATCCTTGAAACACGCAAAGACTTAGATAAACAGCAGCGTCAACAACGTCTCAAAGAGTTATTGGAAGATTTTAAAATTACCCATATTAAAGATTCTCTTGGAATGAGTGTGTCAGGTGGTGAGCGCCGCCGTGCAGAGATCGCACGCGCACTTGCAGCAGATCCAAAATTTATGCTTTTGGATGAACCTTTTGCAGGTGTCGATCCAATTTCTGTAGGCGATATTAAAGATATTATTCGTCAGTTAAAAGATCGTGGGATTGGTGTTTTAATTACTGATCATAATGTTCGTGAAACCTTAGCGATTTGTGAGCATGCTTATATTGTGAGTGAAGGTGCTGTGATTGCGGAAGGTACGCCAGAAGAAGTGTTGGCAGATGAAACCGTGCGCCAAGTGTATTTGGGTGATGATTTTATTGTCTAACGACTCAGCGTTTTTAAAAAGATGAAGGACTTCCTTCATCTTTTTTTTTGCTTTTTGTGAGGTATATTTTAAAAAAAATCAGTTTTTATTCAATATTTCATTAATTATTATTTCATTAAAATTTAACAACATAGTTTTAATGTGATGGTTGTCACAGATAAAGAAATGTGTTACATGTTTTGTTTAAATTTTAATCTAAGCTAAATTCTTAAGTTTCTATAATACCCATAAAATTTAAATGGGAATTTCATAGTTTTAAACGCTATGAGTTGTATAAAAATAACAGGCTATTCTTTTTTAAAGTAGATAAAATTATTAATAAAATTTAAATAAATTTATAAAAGTGATTGTTGGTAATGTCAGTAATGAATATAAAGTGATAATTAAATTTAATCTCAATAAATTAGCAAAATAAACAAGTAAGATTTTAATTAAATGATAATTGCATCACAATGTAATGGTTTTAAAAAAGTTCAATCATTTAGCTATTATAGACAAGCACAGTTTTTTATATGTATATGTGATTTTAATATTAAAAATATACACTTGTGAAATTTATCTCACTTATTTATCTTTTTTGCATAACAGTAAATTATAAGACGGAAAAAATATTATGAAAAACATCACTATTTATGAAAAAGGAACAGCTAAAGTTCTTACTCAAGATTTAGTTAATAAACACTACTCAGTGTATAAAGTAAATCTTGATAGCGCAGAAATAGCCAAGATTGTAAAAGTTAATAATAATTTGGAGGTTTATTTACAAAATGGAGAAAAAGTTGTTATTGATGATTTCTTTATTGGTGAAAAACCAAAAGAATTTACAATAGAAACTTCAGATGGAAAGCATTATTTACTTAACTTTCTTGAATTTGATGAGAGTGGTACAGTTACTAAAATTGATTATTTAGGGATTACAGATTTTCAAGAATACTTAGTTGGTGATCATTCTGTTGCACCAGCATGGGCATGGATTGCAGCTGGAGCAGGAGTGATCGGTATTGCAGCAGCGTCAGGAGGGAGTGGTGGTTCAAACCATTCGGGAAATGGTGATAAAACTGGACCGAAACTTACCTATGATATTTTAGATAATCAGAAAATTAAAATCACTGTAGATGAAGCAAGTAAGATTACAATAGTCGATGCGAGTGGTAAAATAATTGGGTCAGGACAACTAAATCAAGCAGGTGGGCTTGAAATTAATTTAACAAGACCTTTGGTTGATAATGAAAAAATTACAATTACAGCAATAGATAATGCAGGAAATAAAACAACTGAAACAATAAATGTTGGGGATGTTACAAAACCTGAAGTCGAAATAAATATTGTTGATAATGACACTATTCAGGTCAATTCAAATGAACCTGGCAGTAAAGTTATAATTAAAAATGAAGCAGGACAAACAATTGCTGAGGGGATAATTGGACCTGATGGAAAATTAATAGTTGATTTAAATACCCCTTTAAATGATGGCAGTAAAATTATTGTTGATGTTATTGATGCTGCAGGTAATCAAACAGAAAAAGTAATTACAGTAGGCGATGTAACACCGCCAAATATTAGTACAACAATTCAAGATGCAACTCATATTCAAGTTACTTCAAATGAAGCTGGTCAAGTTAAAATCACGGATAGTCATGGTAATGTAATTGGTACGGGTACAATCACAGGTAATAACACGGTTGATAATATCCAGTTAACCCGACCACTTACAGATGGTGAAAAAGTTACGGTCACTGTGACAGATGGTGCGGGTAATCCAAAAGCGATTGAAATTACAGCAGGTGATGTCACAAATCCACAATTCCAATCTTCGCATGTGGATAGTACAGGAACACAATTGACCCTTACCTACAGTGAAACCCTTGATCCATTACATCCACCCGTTGCTGGTAACTTCACAGTGACTGTAGACGGTCAAGTGGTACCTGTAACCGGTGTTACAGTAAATGGCTCTACCGTGGTGTTGACTTTGGGTACACCAGTCACAGCAGGTCAAGCGGTGCAGGTGGGTTATA